ATCCTTCCGTCCTCGATTCCGAGAAGGAGCTCTTCATCCGCATAATTCCAGACAAGGAAAATAAGCTCCTCTGCATCCGCGATAGTGGCGTTGGCATGACCAAGGCTGACATGGTCAACAACCTCGGTACTATTGCCAAGTCCGGGACGAAGGTAAATTCGGACAACTATCCTCGTCTAGCTTGTCATTCCTGACGCGTAGCCATAGGGATTCATGGAGGCACTCAGCTCTGGTGCTGATATTTCCATGATTGGCCAGTTTGGTGTCGGTTTCTATTCTGCCTACCTCGTGGCTGAGCGCGTTCAAGTCATCTCAAAACACAATGACGACGAGCAGTACATCTGGGAGTCTGCCGCGGGTGGTACCTTCACTATTACTCTTGACACTGTGAACCCACCGCTCGGTCGTGGCACCGAGATCCGCTTATACCTGAAGGAGGACCAGACAGAGTACTACGAGGAGAAGCGTATCAAGGATATTGTCAAAAAGCACTCAGAATTCATCTCCTATCCTATCCAACTTGTCGTTACCAAAGAAGTTGAAAAGGTCTGTCATATCCTTACAATCGTCCACCGGTCTATCTCTGATCTTGTGTCGCAGGAGGTCGAAGATGAAGAGGAAGAGGAAGCCAAAGAAGGGGAAGACGAAGAGGGCAAAGCCAAGGTCGAAGAGGTCGAGGACGAAGACGAGGACAAAGCCAAGGAGAAGAAAAAGAAGAAGGTTAAGGAGCAGAGTAAGGTCAATGAGGAACTCAATAAGACCAAGCCTATTTGGACACGTAACCCGAACGACATCACGCAAGAGGAGTATGGATCCTTCTACAAGTCGCTTACCAACGACTGGGAGGACCATCTCGCTGTCAGGCACTTCTCCGTCGAAGGTCAGCTTGAATTCAAGGCCATCCTTTATGTCCCGAAGCGGTACGTCGCTGTTTCTTTGCATACCAATCGCTTCTAACCTAATTCCCTCAGTGCACCATTTGACCTGTTTGAGAGCAAGAAAAAACGCAACAACATTAAACTTTACGTCCGCCGTGTCTTCATCATGGACGACTGTGAGGACCTCATTCCGGAGTACCTCAACTTTGTCAAGGGTATCGTTGATTCGGAGGATTTGCCACTCAATATCTCGCGCGAGACCCTTCAGCAGAACAAGATCCTCAAAGTCATCCGCAAGCACATCGTCAAGAAGTGTATGGATTTGTTCTCAGAGATCGCTGAAGATAAAGACAACTTCCAGAAGTTCTACGAGGCCTTCGGTAAAAACATTAAGCTTGGTATTCATGAGGATGCTCAGAATCGCAGCAAACTTGCTGAGTTCCTCCGTTTCCACTCGACGAAGGGCCTTGATGAACAGATCACCCTCAAAGGTATGTTTCGCGGCTCGCACGCCCGTCATTCCTGCTCATGACGAATTCAGACTATATCACACGTATGCCTTCGGGACAGAAGGCGATTTACTACCTCACGGGTGAATCCCTTGCTGCCATCAAGGACTCTCCTTTCTTGGAAGTCCTCAAGAGAAAAGGTTTCGAGGTTCTGCTGCTCGTAGATCCCATCGACGAGTATGCCGTTTCGCAACTGAAGGAGTTTGATGGCCACAAACTTGAGTCCGTCTCCAAGGAAGGTCTCGAGCTCGAGGAGACAGACGAAGAGAAGAAGGCACGCGAGGAAGAGGCGAAGTCCTACGAGGACTTGTGCAAAGTTATCAAGGATGCGCTTGGAGACAAGGTTGAGAAGGTCGTCGTATCAAATCGTATCTCGGATTCGCCCTGCGTCCTGGTCACTGGCCAATTTGGTTGGTCATCGAATATGGTGCGTTTTCGTTTTGGACTGCGCGAATCAGAAGACTAGAAGCTGATTTCCCGCGCGGTCTTTAGGAGCGTATCATGAAGGCACAGGCTCTTCGTGACACCTCGATGTCATCTTATATGGCGTCAAAAAAGACCCTCGAGCTCAACCCAAACCACCCGATCATCAAGGAGCTCAGGCGAAAAGTCTCAGAGGACAAGGCAGACAAGTCGGTCAGAGACCTGACGTATCTTCTGTTTGAGACGGCACTCCTCACTTCTGGCTTCTCGCTTGAGGAGCCGACATCTTTCGCGAAGCGGATCCACCGCATGATCTCGTAAGTGACTTGTCTTTCCATTCGTGCCGTTCTATGACTAAAGAGTTCCTTGATTGATTCTAGACTTGGTCTTGACGTTGACGAGGAAGAGGAGGCTGCACCCGCAGTTGAGGAGGTCTCCCCTGCCGAGGGAGAAGGTGCCTCTACGTCCGCGATGGAGGAGATCGACTAGAACTGCACGGACTCGATATTCAGAAGGGGTTCTGTAATAAACTTGGCTGTTTGCTCTGTATTACATCTCACATCCACTTTCCTCCATAATTTGTTTACTACATCATCATCTAGCTATCCAACAAAAGAGCATTTCTTTCTTTTTCCCCTCCTGATTACAGTCGAAGATGTCATAACCCATACCCACTTTTTGGACAGCCCAGGGTGATTGAGGGCAAGGGTATCCTCCATACTTTTTTGAGACATTCTTGAGACTATTTTCAACACTTTTCTAAAATTTATGGCCCCTCATAACCTATGCCTTGTCCATGGCTACCCGGAAAAGAGGTAAGGGTTATGACAGCTTCGACTGTAGTTGTGTATGATGTGATGGATGATGCCACACATATCCAACCCAGTCTGCTTGCCATAGACATCATTATAACAGAACCATTCCAGTCATAGCCATCCGGGCATGTCAGGTGTGTCAGCTGGCGACTGACAGTTGTGCTCTGTGTATGCCTCGCGACTCTTTGACGGAAAATCAAGCGAAAAGCGCGATTTGGTTCAATGCGAGCTCGGAAGACGACCCTCAGAGGGTATTCAGGGCAGAGGCGCGAACTCATTGTTGTCTACGCTGCGGAATGGTAATTGTGCATGGGGGCATGTTCTTGTGAACAGCTTCTCACACCGTGCACAGGATGGTCCGAGTCGTACCCCATTGTTCCCAGAATGAAGGACTTATGTTCGCCGTGCCGAACGACTGAGTGACGTCCCCTCTACTTCCTCTCATCAATGGTGCGCGTTCATCTCCCCATGTATGTATGCAGTGGTGCCTGACACGTCTGCACTGCCATGAATGTGATTCCGTCGACTCATGTTAGCCAAGTACAGCTTAGTCCGCGCGATCCTCATGTTTCGTCCTCGGCCCGAAGCTACTTGTTTGGATACCTGGCTCGCAATTTTCCCGTGTCGTGTCGTGTCGGCCATTGCAAGGAAGGAAACGTCCAAGTGAGTCATTGTTCGCGTCCAAAAGGGGGTGAGAGAATAGAGTTACTCGGGCGACGCTGTAAAACGAGGCTCAGAGGCGCGCCTTTGTTCGCTATATTTGTTATGATTTGTCAGCAGAACAGGCGGCGGCAACGTGCACCGATTTTGACACGCGGTATCTTACTCTCCCCCATTGTCTCTCCCTCTCCATATAACTCCAGTCCCTCCTTTCCTACCTTTTTCTCTTCGTCCCGTCCCCGTACGTCCACTCGTAAAGGCCAACTTCAAAACTCAGTTCGACGACAATCGTATTCTCCCAGACTAAGCAAGATCCACAAATGCCTCCGATCCCCATTATCGCGCCCCAGCCCCGTCGTTTACTCCCCCAGCCGACGATTATTGACCCGTCAACACCGGTGTTGCCCATCAGCCTGGACGATCCGTTCATCGTGAGCGTTCTGTTTTGTCCCTACTTACCTTATCTGAGTTTTCATATCTTTCATACTCAGTGCCACACACCGGCACCCAAGAACGCTCAGCTTCCTCGCCTCATGTCTCCAATCCGTCTACATCACCGTGCTAAGCGTTCACTCGTTTGTGTTCCTTTGATCTAGCCGCCTTTACTTTTCCGTTAATTTTGCGTCCTTTGTTTTTTTTTTACTAGGCATCGCAGTCTCCGACGCCTTGCAACTCCATCAAACGACAAGTGGGCTGCCCCCCACGTACCCCCCGCCGTCGGCGGCACAATATTCGCCCGGAAGCTATCATTGCACCCCGTGTGATTAACTTCGATTCGCTTCCCTGGATTTCTGCTCTGGAGGACCCCGTCCTTACGGCAGAAAACCCCTGGGACTCGGATCTCTCACAAATCGCTTCTGCAGAAGAATATATGCGCGCTTCTGGTCTTGGGCCCGTCCGCCGGCGCAAGTCGATCTCCTTCTCAAGAGAACGGACAGAGCCTCTTGTGCCGCTCGTCTCACCGCTATCGGGTGCCACGTCGACACCTCCACCGCGGTTTCCGTCGCCGTCGCGAGTTCAGTTCGTTGGCCTAATGCCAATTATGACGCCTGTCCGGGCAGCAACGCGTTGACGGCCAAGTGTCGTCACATTCCGTTGTGCCCCCAACTTAGAAGTCCCTTTTAATCATCACCCCCTTCGTCACCCCCTTTTATCACGTCACAATTCCCTTTTTCATCACGGACCCTCCCATCATCATCCTCACAATCTGGATTCACCCGTGCCTGTGCCTCTTTCCTGCAAGTCAGCATCATCAATTGTGATCCTATTCATCGCATATATATATGTCTTACCATCTCTTCACATCTCATCTCACGACGTTTTCGAGCAAACAAATGCTTCCCGTACTTGATCGTACGACGTTCATTCACCTTTTGCCGTTCGTTATTTGTACGCTCAGTTGATATTTATTCCGTGCATTGTGTGTCGACTGGGTTCTGCTGCACGTCATCACACTCTCTTCCTCGACATCAATGATGTTCCGAGTTCCCTCTTCCTCTCATTGACAGCTTTAAAGTGTACACGTAGCAATGCCATTCTCTGCCTTCACGTATTCCGTATTCTGTACAAGTTGTTCCCATACAGTGTGCAATACAGTATTGCGATCAACGTTCGATCATTAATATCACAATTTCGGCTTTTTACAGTAATTTGTAAGTCACTTTTAAAGTGCGAGTGAGGTGCAGAAGAGTTTTAAAAATAAAAGTCAAAATGAACTGCCCCAGTGAGGCTCGAACTCACGACCTTCCGATGGGCTTCCACAGACGTGGATAACAGTCGGACGCTGTAACCAACTCAGCCATGGGGCATGTATTCACGCTTGCAGCACTGACATTAACGATATGGACGTCCTGTGCTCCCAATCTAAATTTTCTAATACAGGCCCACACCACACCCACACCCACACCCATACCGAACTCAATTTTACGCTAATGCTTGGGAACTCGCTTCAGATACAAACTTTTCCATGAACTGAACTAGCGTGTCTGTGTTTGCTTCCGTGATGGCATTATAAAGCGATACACGGACACCTGTAACATAGTGGAATGAATGAGCACGACTCTGGCAGCAGAGGAAGAACAAACCTCCGACCGATCTATTGCCATCGAGACGGTGCGTGAAATGTCAAAACGTCTGCCAAGGTACAGTATCCATGCCAGCGAACGTCTCACCTGTGACCTTTTAAGCCTTTCATGCCCGCCTTGTCTGCGCCCTCAAGGAAGCGTGCCTCTGCGCCGTCCCCAAGGACATTGAAGACGACGTTCATCCAGCTTCCGGATCCTGCTTGTACCTTGCCTTGGAATACTCCGCGCTCCTCGCCAGCGCGTATGGCGGCATACACCTTTTCCGCTTTTCGTCTGTTAAGCGCCTGGAAGTACGAGAGGCCGCCCAACTCCTGCATATGCTCGAGCACGAGCCCAGTGATGTAGATGGAGAGCAGCGACGGGGTGTTGTACAGGCTCTTGCTCTGCGCGAGCGTCTTGTAGGACAGACACAACGGAACGGGAATCGCACCGAGTGTCGCGGCGGCGTCGACGTCGACGAGGCAGTCCTGTCTTACGATGAGGATCGTCAGCCCCGCGGGACCGACGTTCTTTTGCGCGCCGGCAAATATAACGGCGTGCTCGCTGAGATGGGGGATCGGGCGGGACATGAACGAGGACGAGTGGTCCCCGACGAGCGGGAGGAGGCCACGCTCGCGCGGCAGGCGGTCGAAGGGGAAGGACGTTTTCGCGGCGGGGTCCGATGAGAACTGGACGCCGTCGATCGTCTCGTTCTCGCAGTAGTAGATGAGCGCGGGTGAGGACGAGAAGGCGTACTCGCCGTGCGGTGGAACGTTGTCGAAGGAGACACCATCCTTGGAGTACTTGCGTGCGTCGAGCGCGACGTTCACGCGGGTGCCACCGCCGAGGCGCCTAGCCTCGTCGTAAGCCTTTTTGCTCCACGAGCCGGTGAGGACGTAGTCCATGATGCGCTCGTTGTCGGGGAGGTTTGGATAGAGTAGCCTGTGGCGCGCGAGGAGGTTCAGCACGACGGCGGAGAACTGAGCAGTCCCGCCGCCCTGTGTAAAGAGAATGGAGTGGGTTGGGGGGACATCCAACTGGCTCCTGATGCGATTTTCGAGGGTGGAGAGAAACGCGACGAACTCCTTGGAGCGATGCGAGAGTTCGGCGATACCAATGCCGGTATCATTAAAGTTGAGCAGTCCTTGAGCGGCTTTCTTGAGTACAGGCTGAGGAAGGGCGGAAGGACCTGCTCCAAAGTTGACCACACGAGAGGTTGCCATCGTTGTTGTCGACGGTTGACTCGAGAGAGAGCGGTGGGAGCGGTGATTCTGACTCGGCCAAGTCAATTTGAGTCCAATTTGATTTTAAGGGGAAATACCCAAGGTCGCCGGTCACCCGTGCACACGGCACGAGACACGGAGGGTTGGGATGGTCAAGAAAGCGAATAATAAGAGACTCGTCGCACCGACTCAGACCGCCGCTCCCAAGGCGATCGTCTTTCCAGAGCTTTCAGAGAAGAGCCCGAGTCATGTCCGCTCTCAAACATTCCTGGAGGACCAGGTTTTGCTTCTAAGCGTACGTTCTTCCTTTTGTTTGCTTGTCTCCATGTCCCAACAATTCCTCAGGACATTGTGACTCAAGCAGAATGCCAATCTTTTGTCGACTTTATTGAAAAGCAACCTCTGGAGCTGACTCCACCCAAGAAACGTGGGGAGGCTGACAGAATCAATTGCAAGTCTCCAGATCGTCATCGACAGTAAACGCCCGCGCTTACGCTTTAGCGTCATCTCAGACAGGATCTCCATCTCTTCGCCCGATTTTGCAGATCGACTATGGACCATACTGCGTCCTCATCTACCGTCGTTTCCATATCCCGCCTCGATGAAAAAGTCAGATTCGAAAGCTCGGGCAGCCCATTCACTAAACCCGAACATTCGATTGTACAAGTACACACCATCACAGCATTTCAACCCTCATTATGACGATTCCGTACGGGATGCAAAGACTGGTGCGGTCTCGGAATGGACACTGCTTATATACCTCACTGGCTTCGAGGATGGTGTGCAGGGCGGGGAGGTATGTATGACGGGACCCGTCCCATCCATGGGCCTTTGCTCAGTTCTTGTAGACCATCTTCTATCCCAATAGCAAAGCCAAAGCCTCGGAGGCCATGGTGGTACCACTAGCACGAGGGACAGCCCTTCTTCATAGGTTGGTGCAGACAGATACACTTCCCACGGTTCACGAGGTTGAGGACTTCTCCTAGACATGGCAACGAGTGTCTCCTTCATGAGGGATCTCAGGTCCGAAATGGCACTAAATACATCCTTCGCTCAGATGTCATGTTTGTGAATTAAGATGTAGTTGATGCAGGAATAAACGATAGATAGGAACAGACTATGAAGAGACTACCTTTTGCTCTTCTTTTTCCTCGCTGGCATGCCCGCTTGGATTACATCGTCATCACGATCCCTAGAATCCTGATCTTCGCTCTCCCCTTTTCTCCGTTTCCGATGTCCCTTCTTTCTGCCTTCTTCTCTGAGCTCCGTGGCCGCCAGTCGCCCAGCCTCATCTACCCTTTCACGCAACAGAGCTATCTCTTCCTTATCCGTGGGCCATATGTCCATCTTTTTGTTGATCACGGCTTCAATGCGCTGGATCAGTTCAACGTCGTATTGTGTGACAAGTGTTACGGATTTTCCCGCACGCCCAGCGCGGGCTGTGCGGCCAACCCGGTGGATATAGTCCTTGGAGTGTGTGGGGATGTCAAAATTGATAACGATATCCACTGCCGGAATGTCCAGACCACTGGAAAAGGTCCGCTTTTCGTCAACAATTCTTACCGGAGATAAGGGGGGCTTACCGGCTAGCCACGTCTGTAGCTACCAGGATGTTTCTTGATCCGCTCTGAAATTTACTCAGAGAGCCGAGGCGCTGACTTTGACTCAGCTGTCCATGGAGAGGAATCGCTGCAAAGCTCAGGTTACGGAGCACGATGGAGAGTCTAGTCGGAGCTTGTATTTCGCGCGGTCCACGGCAAAGAGGGCAGACATACCTTTGTGCATCATGAACGGTCCGCGTAAAGATGATAATAGAATTCTGGGCCAAGGTGTTCGCAAGGTAGACGAGATGAACGTCCTTTTGTGTCAGGGGTATAAAAAGGTAGTACTGCAGCAAGGTGGAAACCGTGGAATACCTGCACGACGAAGGAGGTGAAAACTTGCGAAGGTACGGGTGTTCGACAAACGCCTTACTTTGTCGACACCTCCACTCGAACGGGGTTGGACAAGCTTGCACGCTGGAGCTTGGCAACCTTAGTGGTCATCGTCGCAGAAAACAAGTACGTGGTCCGCTCCTTCGGGATGGCCTTGAGAATGGCGTCGATATCCGGCCCAAAGTCCATGTCCAACAAACGGTCCGCCTCGTCAAGGACCTGGAGGGGTAGCTTAAGCTGACTGCGCGCGGCATATGCGGAAGAGCCAGTTCAGTGTTGCTCACCAGAAACCTGAGGCCACGGAGACTAAACCCCTTCGTGTTCTCCAGGTGATCCTTCAGTCGCCCAGGAGTCGCTACGACTATGTGCGGTTTCTTAGCCAGTGCTATTGCCTGCGTTACCATGTCCATTCCGCCGATGAGGACAGTGCAGCGTACGCCCATAGCCGAACCGAGCGCCTCAAATTGCTGGGAAATCTGGTACGCCAACTCACGTGTTGGTGCAAGTACGCATGCGAAGAGGCCCCTTGGTTCATCCCATAGCTTCTGCAGGATAGGTAGAGCGAAGGCTGCTGTCTTTCCAGAGCCGGTGGAGGCTACACCGATTATATCTCGACCTTCAAGAGCAGGTGGAAGAGCCTCAGCCTGAATGTCTGTTGGATTTTTGTAATTAAGCCGTTCGATTGCCTCGAGAAGAGGTTGTATGAGCCCGAGTGAGCTGAATGAAGGCTTTGGGGATTGCTCTGGCTCTGGCGTTGAGGCCATAGCCTCAGCCTCAGCCTCTATAGGCGGGCGGTAAACTCCCTAGATTACGTAACGTTTCTACTCTGCTGCTGCTGCTCACTCGGACTCGGATACTAGTACGCCTTCTCCCATCCCAACAACGAATGTACTCCGGCCACCCCTGGGATGGATAAGCACCTTCTCCGCTCCATTTACTTGATGAGCATCGATATTCGGGAGCGCCAATGATCCCATAGTCATCTCCCCTGCTAGAGGCTTGGGGGAAACCACCACATTGGGTAAAGACAGCTCGCCGTGGTGCAGTGCAATCAGTGTTATCGGAACAGTGAAAGTGGACCCATCCTGGTGATTACTTGATTCGCTGCCAAAAGTTGATCGTGTGGGCGTGGACACACCTCTGCTTCAAAGTCCCCTCGTTTTCGCCCACTGATGAGCCAGTCTCGCATCATCTCTTCAATGTCAAACCGCATCTGATATGATCTTCGACCTGCGTCTTGCCTTGTGCCCCAGTGGAAGGAAGTATGGATGGATAATGAAGCTGGAATAGGCTGTCCGGCATATAATAGAGGTAATTGATTTGTTGACTCTGAGTCTTCCGAGAAGGGTGCCGCCAGAATATGGAATCGTACTGCAGCAAGTATCTGTGGTGTTGTAACTTGGATGAGGACGTGGTTAGACTCGAACATGAATGACGAGAACTTGCGTCCATGAGTGGCACCTCAACTTGAATGCGGATTTCTCGCCAGGGACTGCTTCTCTCAACCGTAGGCTTACCCTTTTCTAGTATCTGCAGAGTGACAGGCGTTCGTCTTTTCTCGCGATGACTCGCGATGTAAATGGGCAAC